GTTTTCAAACTTTTTTTTATTAGGTGTCACTATAAGAAATTAATTTTAAATTACCTCCTGTATATAAAGTCACACAACCACATCAGAAGTTTTTTGTTGGGTTGTTATTTTGTTTTCTTTTGTTTGAGATAGGCTTTCACGCTTTCACCTAGGCTGGAGTGCAGTGGTGTGACCTCAGCTCACTGCAGCCTTGACCTCCTGGGCTCAAGTGATCCTCCCACCTCAGCCTCAGCTGGGACCACAGGCACATCCCACCATGCCCAGCTAATGTTTGTAATTTTTTTGTAGAAATGAGGTTTTGGCCGGGCGCAGTGGCTCACGCCTGTAATCTCCGCACTTTGGGAGGCCGAGGCGGGCAGATCACAAGGTCAGGAGATTGAGACCATCCTGGCTAACACCGTGAAACCCTGTCTCTACTAAAAATACAAAAAAAATAGCCAGGCGTGGTGGTGGGCGCCTGTAGTCCCAGCTACTCAGGAGGGTGAGGTGTGAACCCAGGAGGCGGAACTTGCAGTGAGCCCAGGTTGCGCCACTACACTGCAGCCTGGGCGACAGAGCAAGACTCCGTCTCAAAAAAAGAGAAATGAGGTTTTGACATGTTGCCCAGGGTGGTCTCAAACTCCTGTGCTCAAGCAGTCCACTTACCTCAGCCTCCCAAAGTGCTGGGATTACAGGCGTGAGCCACAGTGCCCGGCCTCGCCTTCTGTTTCATTCTGGGATACAGGGGTGTCCCCAGAGTCTTAGTGCAGTTTTAATAACTTCAGACGTTTAAATGTACAAACCTACAAAACATCAGTTGAATATTTACTTATTTAAATTTCTTTTCCACTTAGTTTCCTGACAGTCAAGTGCTAGATTTTTCATTTTAATTCTCTGCATGTGCCAGTGTCTGGATGGACAGGCAGGCAAAGGAGCCCTTACCTGGGTTAATTGACCTCCCTTGAGGTCAGTGGCCTGATTGTCACCTCCCTTGAGGTCACATGTGCACCAAATCCAGTTCTTTAGAACATGGTGAGGCTGGAATCACCAGTGTTACCTTTTCTTGTTGCTGACCAACAGTCGGTAAAAGGTTTTTCGAAGTTAGAAAACCAACTAGAGCCATGTATCGCACTGAGGGGGTATTGTAAGAATCTGAGTAAGAAATATCAAGGTATTTTAAATGTAAATAACCTTTCAAATGTCATTTTTTTGTACATTTGTAGTATCTATACTCCTGAAGTTATTAAAGCTTCAAACTTCACCAAGACTTTGGTAGCCCATTTTTTTTTTTCCCCACAATACTAGTAAGGCCTTCTCATTTGCTTTCCTGACCCAGCAATGGGTCACGACCACAGCTTTTTAAAAATCAGACCTCCAGGCCGGGCGTGGTGGCTCACACCTGTAATCCCAGCACTTTGGGAGGCCGAGACGGGCGGATCACCTGAGGTCGGGAGTTCAAGACAAGCCTTACCAGCATGGAGAAACCCCATCTCTACTAAAAATACAAAAATTAACCGGGTGTGGTGGTGCATGCCTGTAGTCCCAGCTACTCGGGAGGCTGAGGCTGGAGAATTGCTTGAACCCGGGAGGTGGAGGTTGCAGTGAGCCAAGATTGCGTCATTGCACTCCAACCTGGGCAGCAAGAGCGAAACTCCATCTCAAAAAAGAAAAAGAAAATCAGACTTCCAAAGTGAAGTACAGTTTCGTGTGTGTGTGCGCGCGTGCGTGTGTGTGAGACAGGGTCTCATTCTTGCCCAGGCTGGAGTGCAGTGGCACCCCCATGGCTTACTACAGCCTCAACCTCTTAGGCCCCAGCGACCCTCCTGCCTTGGCCTCTCAAAGTGCTGTGATTACAGGTGTGAGCCCCTGTGCCTGGCCCAAAATCTAAATGTATACCAGCCTCTCTCTGGTCAGGAGGGCTTGGGCACGTCAGCTGATACCGGGTCCTCTGGGGATACGGATCTGCCCCGGCTCATGGACTCCTCGCCCTGGAGTGCAATTATTTGTTTGTCTTTCCTACTGGACTACGAGCTCCATAAGGCAGGGACTGTGCTCATTGTTGCTGTTGTTTATCATTTAATCTTTGTGTCCCTTGCACATAATAGGAGAACTGGCCTCCTGTCTATTCTTGATATTGGGCTTATTTCTGGGGCCCTGCCCTGAATAGGTCAGTGGCTGTTTGTCAGTCATTAAAGAAAGACATCAACCATAAGAAAAACCAACTGTTTTTCTGTCCATGCACATAACACTCCACAGAACCCTTCACTTCTGATACCGAATATGCAGGCAGCCTCACCCCTACAAGCAGCGCATTCTCCAGCCACCCAGACGCCAAGTGTGTGTCCTCCACTTCAACCCTGACCCTAACTCCCCGGAATCAGGGCAGACCCCACAGGTCAGGGCCCAGTCCCACAGACTGCCCCCCACTTCAGGGGCCCATCACACATATCAGGTCCCCTCGTTCCTCACACTTTGGTCCTACTTGGCTACAACTCAGGGGTTCCACGAACCCCTCCTCAAGTTCAGTACTTGCTATGGCGTCCCACAGAGCTCAGGGAAACACTTACGTTAACTGGTTTATTAGAAAGGAAATGATAAAGGCTACAGATGAACAGCCAGATGGAGGTACCTAAGTAGAGTGAGGTCCAGTAGGTCCTGGATGCAGCAGCTTCTGTCCCCACGGAGTTGGGGTGCGCCACTCCCCGTGCACGGGAATGCATTCAGCAGCCTGGAAGCTCTCCTCATCACATAGGCGTCATTGATTCTTAACTCAGTCTCCAGCTCTTCTCCAGTCTCTGGAGGAAGCTGGGTGGGGGCAGGGCTGAAAGTTCCAAGCTTCTCATTGCAGCTTGATCTGTCTGGTGATCAGCCCACCCAGGAGCCCACCTGGAGTCACCTCATTAGAACAAAAGACACTCCTATCACCCAGGAAATTCCAACGGATTTAGGAGCTCTGTGCCAGGGACTGAGATCAAAACCAAATGTTAGAACAAAACATGCTCCTAGCACCCCTGTAACTTAGGAAATTCAAGGGATTTAGGAGCTCAGTGTCAGGGCTGGGCATGGTGGCATGCACCTGTGATCCCACTCCAGAGGCAGAGGCAGGAGGATCGCTGAGCCCTGGAGGTCGAGACTGCAGTGAGCTGTGATTGCACCACTGCACTCCAGTCTGGGTGACAGAGCAAGATCCTGTCTCAAAAGACAAACAGACAAAATAAAAACTGTGTCAAGAACTGGGGGCAGAAATATATATATATTTAGGATGTTATGGTCGTTCTTTCTACTTTTTTTTTTCCAAGTGATCCTTCTGCCTCAGCCTCCTGAGTAGGTGGGATCACAGGTGCGTGCCACCTATGCACGGCTAATTTTTAAATTTTTAGTAGAGGCGAGGTGTGTACTATGTTACCAGGCTGGTCTCGAACTTCTGGGCTCAAGCCGCCCTCCCACCTCAGCCTCCCAAAGTGCTGAGATTGCAGGCATGAGCCCCCACACCTGGCCTCTTACTTTTTCTTTTTTTTTCCCTCTTTTTTAGAATATATAAGAAAATAAAGAAAAAATGGGGTCTTTGGATCTCACTGTCCAAAGATGCCATTAGCATTTAAAAAATATATTCAGTCATTCATGCATATTAATGGAAAGTCCAACTTATACTGAAATGTGTAAGATGGAAAGGAAAAGCTGCCCCCCAGTCTCCTCTCCCGAGAGGTAGCCACTGCTGACGGTTTCTCGTGGGCCCTTCCAGAAAACAAACCTCTTCTCTGCATTTTTGAGCACATGCATCCCCTTCCACTTCGCCACTTACAGCAAGATGACTGTGCTGCTCACGTGGGGCTGCTGCTTGCATTTTTCCCTCAGTGTATCTTGATGCACTTTTCACATCAGTACCTATCAACGCCTCCTTTTTTCTTCTTTTATTAAGATGGAGTCTTGCTGTGTCACCCAGACTGGAGTGCAGTGGCACGATCTCGGCTCACTGCAACCTCTGCCTCCTGGATTTAAGTGATTCTCCTGCCTCAACCTCCCAAGTAGCTGGAGTTAAAGGCACCTGCCACAATACCTGGCTAATTTTTTTGTGTTTTCAGTAGAAACAGGGTTTTGCCATGTTGGCCAGGCTGGTCTCGAACTCCCAACCTCAGGTGATCCACCCACCTCGGCCTCCCAAAGTTCTGGGATTACAGGCGTGAACCACTGTGCCCAGCCCCCAATTCTGTCTTTTCAACTGCACGCTGTCAGAGTCATTATATAAAAATCCTGATGGACATTTCTCCAGTCTGGAGCAGATGCCTAGAAGTGAGTTTGCTGTGTCAAATGGAGTGGCTCCTCTTCCTGCCCTCTGAAGAGGCCTGCTTACCCCAACCTCAGCCACAAAGATACTTTGCTGTGCAAAATTTGGGAAATGTCAGGACACCCAAGCACCACTTCGCCATAGATAGCACTGAGTCTCTGCGTACAAACTGCTAAACGGGGAAGAGACCCTGTCACCTGTGCAGCTCCCCCCAGGTGGCATTTTGTGTAGTCAAGAGAGTGGCACAGTGGCTCACTCCTGTAATCCCAACACTTTGGGAGACCGAGGCAGGTGAATCACCTGAGGTCAGGGGTTCGAGACCAGCCTGGCAAACATGGCGACACGCCATCTCTACTAAAAACACAAAAAAATTAGCAGGGCGTGGGTGGCGGGCGCCCATAATCCCAGCTACTTGGGAGGCTGAGGCAGGAGAATCGCTTAAACCCAGGAGGCAGAGGTTGCAGTGAGCTGAGATCGCGCCACTGCACGCCAGCCTGGGCAACAAGAGCCAAAACTCTGTCTCAAAAAAAAACTCAGAAAAAAACAAAAAACAAACAAAAAGTCACTCAGAGGAGCTCAAGGTCCCTCTGGGTTTGCCACTTCCGACCCGCCATGGGGCTTGTAAAACCTTTGCCTCCCAGCACAGCTCCATGTTTTATCAGGAGCCTCCCCGTGAGCTGCCAGCGCTGGCTGGGCTCCATGGATCAGCTGGGGCTACCCATTCATTCATTTCCACATCTACCCACTGGGCTTCCAAGTTGAAGTTCCTGGGGCCCCGTGTCCCCTCCCCACGACCTTCAATCCCACAGAGCCCATGGGCACGGCACGTCGCTCTCATCCTCTGACATTCCTGCATGCTGAAGTCACTTCTTCCTTCCACCAAGGCCATCCCCGGCCATTCCTCCGATCATCTGTTTATTGTGTCTCTGTGTGGGAGAGAACTGGCTGAAGAGGTGGGGCTCCAGTTTTGGAACGTGGACACTGAGAGAGTTGGGGATGGAAAACAACATAGAAGGAAGCAAAGGCGGAGGCTGCGATGGCCATGATGCCTGGCCCTGGTCCCAGATACCCCAGCCAGCTTTTCTCTTGCACCCTTTGTCTACTCACCGCAGCGACACAGTGGGAGTCCCGGGCCCACTTCTCCAAATGGCACACAGATGCCTCAAAAGGCACCCACCTGGGAAAGGCCAAGGCCGAGGGCTTGGGGTCACAGTCAAGAACACGCCTCAGCTCAGCATTTGTGAGCCGAGTCACCTTGGTCCATCATTTGTGCACAGCCCCCGCCTGCTGGTTGACCATGACCACAGGGCAGGCACTGCTGCAGGGCATGGACAGGCTGGACCTTCGAGGCCCTCGTCTGTCTCCCCTACCTTCTGCCCCCTCCCCCACCACTTCCCATCACCCAGTCTGTGCCAAGGGCACTGACCCTGTCCTTGTCTTGCAGAAAGAGGAGCAGGACTTGGATGGTGAGACGGGGCCATCATCGGCAGGGCCTGAGGAGGACGACGGTGAGTGGGACCTCTATGCTCATGAGGGGGCCTGACCATGTCGGGGGTGGCCTGTGCCCTACTGGGGATCCCAGGAGCTGGGGTTCAAGTGCCAGGGGGAGGGATGGGGTGGGACAGTGGCCTGAGTGGGGCACTGAGAGGTGGAGTTGCACCATGGATGTCCTGCCCTGGCCTGCCTGGACTTTGGGGCCCCCTCACACTCCCTTGGACTTTGGGGTTTGGCTTTCCCATCCCAGGGGCCCCTCTTGAGAACACACTACGTGCCCTGCCTGGCTCTGTCCCGCGCTGCCTCATAACTCCCCTCTTGTGACCACACTGTACATTTCACGATTCTCTCCAAACATCTCTGACCTATTTTACTGAGACGAAAACCACTCACACGGCCTCCCCCGTGCCTTCTTCGTAATGAAGGCCCCGGGAGGGGACACGCCTGCTTTCTGAGCAGCTCTGGCTGACTGGCCACAGGCCCCAGCCATGAGACTGAGAGGAGAAAGGGCGTGGCCGAGAACAGGGGAGACACGGCCAGATCTGACCCAGCCAGGACAGAGACAGAACAAAACGCGGAGTGGCTTCTGCTGGGTCCGTCCGCTGATTTCTCTAGAAAAGAAAGCGGAGGCAGACATGCAAGATGTCAGCGTTTGTTGCCTCTGTATGGCAAGCACAGGGAGGATTAGTGCTTTCTGCATTTTTGTATGTTTGAAATATTTCATAATTTTAAAAAAGCAAGACTGTTGCTGTGACCTTAAGTCGGCTGCTGGCAGGAGCAGTGGAAAGAGAGTTTCAGGAATGCAGGAACCAGCTCCTGCGGGCAGGCTGGGCTGGGGTGCAGAGCTTCCCCTGAGGCCGTGCCTTGGTTTCATCAGCACAGCCTGGAGCAGGAGGGGAGACTGAAGCTTGGGTGCAGGCGGTGGACTGCAGGTGGGGACATTAGTCCCTTACCAGGAAGGACCCTTGCTCCCTGCTTTTGGGGACGGGGGACTCACTGCAGCCGTGGCCCTGGCATCTGTCCCTGCCACGTGGCCCGAGACAGCTGAAGGGATGCAGGGATCCTGTTAGTGACTTGGGGACACGGGAGGGAGGCTTGCAGACCCCTCTCCCTGGTGTAGCTGCCAGAGGGCCCAGCCCCCCAGGGCTGTCACCAGCCTCCCTCCTTATCTGCGCCGCTGCGCCTGCACATCCCCCACCCCCAGCGCCTCCTGCCACCTTAGCCTCCTGCCATCTCTAGCTAGGCAGGGAAAGGAAAGGTTTATGGCGCCAGCTGTTGGAAGACTGTGTGAGCAGCCCCCAGCCCCTCTGCAGTATGAGGCAGCCTCAGAGGCTAATTGATTAGTGTCGCTAAAATGACTTCCCTGAGCGACTCGTGGATTCACAGGAGACTGGAGGAAGAAACCTCCCCCGTCCCTCGGAGGCTGTCACATTGAACCCTCCTGGCCTAGGAAAATTGGATGTGCTGCCTGGTGCACTGCCTGGGATTGAGTGAAATCCTTTTCAAGCCGTTTGTTCTGTCTGGCTCAGAAAACAAAACTAATCAGACTTGCCCCATAAATTGAAACCTAAGACTGGGGCCAGGCTGGCAGGATTTTGTATGTTTTCTTTTTGGGAGGGGTGTTGGGGGGATACTGGAGTCTCACTCTGTTGCCCAGGCTGGAGTGCAATGGCACGATCTTGGCTCACTGCAACCTCCGCCTCCGAGGTTCAAGCTGTTCTCCTGCCTCAGCCTCCTGAGTGGCTGGGATTACAGGCATGCACCACCACGCCCAGCTAATTTTTGTATTTTTAAAAGAGACAGGGTTTCACCATGTTGCCCAGGCTGGTCTTGAATTCCTGGCCTCAAGTGATCCACCTGCCTCGGCCTCCCAAAGTGCTGGGATTACAGGCGTGAGCCAGTGCACCCAGCCAGATGTTTGGGTTCTGAATTCACATCTAGAACCTTCTTCCTCTCACCCTGAGAGCCCTTCATCTCCCCATCGGTGTGCATCAGCCTATCTGGTAGCTTGAGGGCTGCAAGCTAGAGGGGAGGGGCCTGGCTTTTCGGGCTGTTGGACAGGATGTGGAGGGACAGAGAGGCAGCACTTCCAGAATAGCAGCTGAGGAGCTCTCTACACCTCCCTCACTGGGTCCTTTAGTTAGTGGAGGTCGATAAGAGGCCAGCCAGCTCTGCCCGATACTTGTGGATTCAGGAACCAAGAGGTTGCTCCCCCATGAGGCTCTTCCCTCTGGGAGGTCAGCTTTTCTCTCCTCACCATGGCTCATGCGCCCGGAGCCTGTGTCCACTCCAGGCCACAGGTCCCGGCTTCCTCTGTGCCCACCACCTACCCGTCCATGTGCCCTCTTCAGGCCTCAAGATCTGCCTCTTTTTTGCAGGCAGCGATGGGGTGTCTGCCCTCGGGGACTGGCAAATCAGGCTCTGCCTCTTCAGCAGTACACAAGTCAAACCCGCCGTGGCAAATCCCGCATCCCTGGCCTGGCCACTGTGGGCTGCCTGAATGCGTGTTTTCTGATTTCCAATAGCCACAGGGGTTGGGGGGACGACACAAGCCTCCCCACAGCCAGGCAAGCGCGGCGTGTGTTCCGAGATGAGCTGTGCTCTGCTGCCGGAGCTGTTGCCTGTGAGCTCAGTAGCCGAGAGGACCCGCTGGGCAGGGCCAGGGCAGACAGAGCACTGCAGCTGCCGGGAGGGACGCGGTGTCTGGAGACAGCCGTGGACCAGGAGCGGGACCGCTTTCTCTCTGGCTGTCTCGTTGTAGGATTTAAGGGAAAGCTATGGAACGAGAGGGGGTATAGGCGCTGGGGTGAGAAGATGTCTCTGACAGCCGATGCGGCCTCTGCCTGAGGTCTTCCTTTTTAAACCTAGGGAAAGGGGGCCAGGGTTTGGGGGGCCCAGCCTCTACAGCACTCCCTGGCACTGACCGGGTCCCCTCTCCGCAGGGGAAGGCTTCTCCTTCAAATACAGCCCCGGGCAGCTGAGGGGAAACCAGTACAAGAAAATGATGACCAAAGAGGAGCTGGAGGAGGAGCAGAGGTAGGCTGCAGCCCCTTTGCTGGTGCCTGGCGGGCTCTTAGGGGAGGGGGGTGCCCCTCTGAGCCCTTCATGTTCTGCCTCTTGGCAGAAGGGCGCAGAAAGGAGGTGGGGCTCCTACAAACTCTGCCCAACCACTGCCCCACCTTCCCAGTTTAGTTCTTTCCTGCCCTGGTCAGCCAGGCTCGTGCGCCCCGGAACCCCTGCCTGGCACTGACCAGGAGAAGGTCACTGGTGATGGGAGACACAGAGCCCATTTACTGAACCCCCCACCCCCTCCACACCCCACTGCTCCCATCTAAAGAAATCAGACGCCAGGAAAGAGCCTGGAGCAGACCTGGCTGCCACTCACACACGGAGTCCCCGGCAGAGCTGATTTCTTGATTTCTCCTTCGGGACACAGCGGGTTCTTGGTGCCCATCATTCCGCGGCCTCCCAGGCTGGCGCCTGCAGCAGCGCCTTGTCGCTCCGGACGGTGCAGCTGTGGCTTCTCGTTGTTGGAACTGGCTCCCCCTTCCCATCTGGACACCCCCTGCACACCCACTGGGCTCCCCTCCACATTTTCCCTCCACTCCATCCTGCCAGGTGGGGAAGGGGTGCACTGGGTGCGGTGGGACAGCTGGGGAGGCCTCGGCAGACGGACAGGCATTTGCAGAGGGACAGTTGTTTGCACCAGGCCCAGCAGGCTCCTGGTGCTCACCCACATTGCTGCCTTTCTGCAGCGTGGCCTGGAGTCCTAGGTGGTAGCTGTGCCACTTTCCAAGCCTGGTGACCCAGAGCAGCTCGTGGGAGTCACCCCCTACTTGTCAGCAGAAGCCAGCAGTCTAGGGTCTGAGCGGAAGGGGAGGTTTATGATTTTGGAATCAGAACTCAACCACCCTTTCATGACTGCGTGCGAGGCCACCCACCAGGCAGCCCTCTAACCTCAGAGCTGCTCTGCTGGTGACAGGCCCTGTCTCCCCTCCCGGTGCTGGCATCAGCTCTCTCGACCCTCAGCAGGAAGGCTCTTCACCGTGGCTGGGTGGGGGGCGGGCAGTGTAAGCACAGCCAGGAGGAAGAGCCCTGGCAGGAGCCCCAAGTCCTCAGGTGCTGAGGATGCTGCCTCTTGGCATGACCAGGTTTGCTGCATTTATATTTCAGGATTGAGCTGACCTCTGACCTCACTTCCCTGTAGCAAGTTCCTTAGGTCCTGAGCCACAAATATTCTTGCAAATCCTTTTGGTAAGGACACTGATTTCTTAGACTAGTGGCGCTCCCCTCCTACTGCGTGCTAACGTGCCCCCAACACAACTGACGCGGCCTCAACCTCCCCTCCTCCATCGCCTTCATAACCGATTAATACATTTCCCACCTGAGCCCTTCTCATTCTTCTCAAGCACGAGGAATCACTGGCAGAAAAGGCCCCGTCTGGGGGCAGAGGTTCCTGGAGGGGAGTTAAGTCCCTGAGTTCCTAGAGGCGGCCTAATGGGCCGGTGGGTTGGGGTGCTAGTGCCCCCTTGCAAGGCTGGGAGAACTGTCACCCTAGGACCTCAGGCTTCGGGAATGTGGATGTCGTCACCCTGCAGCCTTGGGTCTCACCCTGAGAAGGTGAGGCAGCTTCTGCACAGTGCGCAGCAGATATCCTGACAGCGGTCCATGCTCCCAAGCTGTGAGACAGGCAGGTTCTTATGATCAGGGCAAGGATTAGCAGACGACAGCCAGGCCACATCTGATCCCCCACCTGCCTGTGTCAACCCAGCGTGGCAGGAACAGCAACACCCATTTTCCTGTGGTCTGTGCCCCTTTGTGCCACAGTGGCCGAGGTGAGTCACTGCAGCAGAGACCACACACTCCCCCAAATCGAAATAGTATCTGACTCTTTGCAGAAAAAGGTTGCAGTCCTTGGAGAGAGGCTAGAGGGGGCTGGACACAACTGCCAGCCCTTGAAGGTCCCTGGGGACAGAGGCTGCTCAGGCAGATGGATCTGGAGGGCCTCTTAGAACAAGAAAGACCAGGCCTCAGGCTAGGGGTGAAACTGCCACTACCACCCACGTCCAGAGCTGGGACCTTGGCAGTGGGGAGGGAAAATCCCTTCCCCTTATTTTCAGAGAGTAGACCCTGTGCTGCCCATCCCTCCCCACTGGATCTTCGGAGGTCTCTAGACCACCAGCCCACACTTGGCTGTTCCATGGGATCGAGACTGTGCCTGAGGTGCTGCTCCCGGGACGAGGGAAGACTCCTTCACTCCTCTGCATGCTGCAGTTACCACTTTGTGCCCTGAATTGAGAAGGAGGGGCCGGAGGACTTCTTGGGGCAGGACTGGAGTTCACGTTCATTCCCATCACTGCCCAGCCCGCATGCTCCCTGTGGCTCCCAGGCATGCTGGTGGCATCTGCTTGCTCCCCCACACCTCTCCCCCCTGCATGTGGTCGCCCCTCGCAGCACTGCGTGGGGTCCCCACGGCTCCACACCACGCTGTCCTCACACGGTGATGCTTGGGGTTGCAGAGGCTGGTCAGTTTGGCTTTGGCTTTTCATCTTCAGCATGGCGGTTCTCATGGGGATGGGGAGCGCTGGCAGCTGTGAAGACAGTTCCGGTCCCAGCCGAGTTCCAGGGAACCGCCCTAGAATCATCAGTATGAAAAATAACATGCCTGTTATTATCAAACCACTAAAACCACAGGCCAGCTAGCAGGGGTGCTGTCTCTCCACCTGCCAGGTTCTGCCCTCCCAGAGGCCCTCCGTGCCTCTGATGCCTTTCCCAGCTCTCAGCGTCCACAATCGAGTTGCAGCTAAAAACTGCATGGCCCCTGACTTTAAATTTACTGACTCAGCCAACAGATCGCATCTAGAACCTGAAGCTTTAGTGGTTGCCAGTTCCAACACTCCCCAGGAGCCTCAATTCACAGGCTTTCATGACAATTAGGAAGTGGGACTGGAAGCAGGAGGTCCCAAATTAGTTCCACCACATGCTGAAGTGGGCAGTCTCATCCTTGAACTACTCACAGATCAAATTCCTTCTGCCTGGGGCCAGAAAGCAGTCAGGTCTGTAAATCCAGAGGCGGCTGCTGCTTAAGATCCCTCTTGCCGCGTCTGCCGGCCTCCTCAGCTCTCCCCTCGGGCCGGAGGTTCACACACTTCATGCCTCTGGTGGCGTCCCTGGGTTCTGCTGAAGCTGATGTGGGAGGTGCCACCTCCAGTTTCACAGTGTGGCTAGGACAGTGGGCTTGCAGGCTGGTGACAGCTCCCCTGAGCAAGAGGCCTCCTCCTCCTCCTCCCCCAGAGCTGGGGAAGCTGGCAGGGCTTGGCTGGCTTCGCAGCTTGGCAGGAGAGAGAAAAGGCACGGCTGTCAGCTCCTCTCCATCACTTCTTCCCACCTTCTGGTCTCAGAGGGAAAAGGAACCCAGGCTGTAGACTAGACTGACTCTGATAGATCAGGACCCACCCCTGCATTTGAGGTCTGCAGGGCTGTTTTGACTCCTCTGGAAATGGACATAACTCTAGAGGAAGGTGATAGTGTGATAAAACAGGGAAGGAGAGGAGGCGGCCAAGGAACCACAGCTGTGGGGTAGTTCTGGTTCTTCTATCTGATGTATGCAAGAAACGACAGAAACAATAGACCGGACAGTGTGAATTTCCAGCTCAGGCTGGAAATGCGTGCTGACTGTGACCACCAGGAGAGGGCGCCAGAGGGACAAGCTCAGACCTGCTGCTTTCTCAGTGGTCTCAGGGCTGGCGATGTGTCTTGGTTCATGAAAGATGGGCACACTGTTGGCTCCATCTGGAAGCGTGCATCCTAGGGTGCCAATATCCCCCGAGGGGACAAAACTCAGCCAGCGGGAATGGGAAATTATCTAGGGTGATAGAAATATTGTCAGCACAGCCACACAACCCAAGATCAGAAAGGCCCTTGGCAACTCAACTGCTCCAGTTCCTTCCTTAAGTACCCTGCAGAGGCTGAACAGGTCTGTGGGCTGCAAGGTTCTGTGCGGGATCAAGGGGAGCTCTGCGAGCTCTGGCCAGCTTTGCGGCACAGACCGTCTTGCCGCAAGTGATGAGAAGCAAATCAGCAGTGGTTTGAGACACCAGAGTCTAGCGCAGCTTCTGCAATTCCAAACATTCTCCTTCCTCGTCCCCATTTCCCCCTTTCCTTGCCCGTGGTGCAGGATGGAATGAGTAAAATAAATTATCTTTTTCTCCCCATTTCTCTTTACAGAACTGAAGAATAACGAAGTTATCCTTAGCGTCCTCCTAAAGGCTTTTCCTTTTGGCATCTTAAAAGCTTGAGAGATAAAATGGAAACCCCAGAGAGGAGTCTGGCAGGCTCCCAGGGTGCATGCTGCCTTCGTAAATCTGCTGAGCTCTAGACCCTCAATCAGGACTTGTCCCTTGGCTAGCAGGATCCTGGGAACACCTTTGGCCCTGCCCTGTAGCGAGATGTTCATGTCCATTTCTGTGGGTCACTTTGTTAAGCTGAAGCGTTTTAAGAGTTTGAGCTCAGACCCTGGACTGGGATTTTTCTTACCACTCAAACTTGCTATCCACACATCCTGCACACCTTAGATAAAACAAACATTTAAAAAGCAGAGTTCACTTTCACTCCAGTGCCCCCATTTTGTCCTCACTGAAGCCAAACCACAAAAGACTTTGAGGAATGAGAGACAAATGAGGTAGAGCTCACCTGTGCTCACCAGCTCGGTCAGAGTGGTCAGCCGACCCCTTTCCCTGGGAACCCCACCTCTCTCTCTGGCTAGCTTGGTTGTCGGGGGTGAGATGCCATATTGATTAGAAGGCAGCAAAGAACCAGTACCAGGAACTGACTTGACCATTCCCCTTACTTTTCATCTAGAGAAATCTTGGATTCAGCCCATTTATTGCTAAGACACCTTTTCACTGACGTTCTTACCAGCTCAGCCAAATCTCCACTCTGCTATAGCAGAAGCAATAATGTTGCTTTAAAAAGATTTCTTGACTATGCCTTTTCTTAGAAAGGTTGATAGATTAGTTGGAACTTCAGATCATCAGATCAGTCTCAGATTCGTTTCTTGGAATTTTATATTTGACAGTATTTATACTATACCAAACTCATTTGCAGTTCTTAGGTTTGTTGGTTAAAACATTTTTTTAAAGCAGTAAGTTTATAGAAAATGTTTTCATTTAATGGAAGGCTGGGGAATGTCCAGCATCAGCCCCTATGGCATGCATTCCCAGTGGCTTTCTCCATCTCAGCCTGAAACCTTTGGTTCAGGGCTTAGGGGAGAACAGGCCACATGGCAACAGCCACATAGTCATTGCCTTCAACACAGAGCCACGGGGTGAATGGATGTACTTCTGTGTCCCCAAACAGCAATAGCCATGCCCTTGTCCAGGCTGGGATCTAATGGATACAATAGGTCGTTGACTCCCTCCCAGTAGAGCTATCTAGGTTTGTCTGGAAAATTTCCCACCATGGCTTATAGGCACCACACCTCATGTACTCCTGATGGCTTGGATCTCTGTATTCAGCCTTTGTTCAGTCCAATAAACTTTGAGTAGATGATCTCAATTACTGTGTGTTTTTTCAGTTTGCTTTGTTTAAAAAAAAAAAAAAACCCTTTTGAACCCATTAAAATTTGACCTCTCTTTCATTTTGATGCCTCGTACTCTGCAGCAGAGGACAAAGCCATCCATCCACCCTGCTAAAAATACGCAGTCACCACAGCTGTCTGAACCACGTGACATGATCTGTGTTCACTCAGGGACATGTGGATTGTGCTTGCATCACAGAGCTCAGCACACCCTTTCTGTTCACAGAAATTCCTCTTTCTTCTTTTCTTGAGACAGGGCCTCCGTCTGTCGCCCAAGCTAGAATGCAGTGGTGCAGTCACAGAGCTCACTGTGGCCTTGACCTCCTGGGCTTAAGTGATCCTCCCGTCTCAGCCTCCCAGGTAGCTGGGACTACAGGTGCTCACCACCACGCCTGGCTAATTGTTTTATAGAGACAGGGTCTGACTATGTTGCCCAGGCTGGTCTCAAACTCCTGGGCTCAAGTGATCTTCCTATCTTGGCCTTCTAAAGTGCCAGGATTACAGGCATGAGCCACTGCACCTGACCCTCTTCCTTCTTACAGGAGGCACAAAGCACACATCATAGGCTGCTGCTTCTCAGACAGGGGAACCAACTGTAGACGCAACTTTCCCAGAGGACAAGGGAGGCTGGGAAGTGGGGCTTCAGTATTTCAACTGCTAGATGCTGCTCTAGACAGAAACCTCTGCAGGATGGAAGACGCACGGTGAGGAGAGGAGGGAAGGGTGAAGCAGAAGGAATATGGTAGCAAAAGTATGGGAGCGAATGTGGAGACCACCCCTCCAGGCAGCGTTGGGGATGCCAGTGGCCCAGGGCTATGCTGAGGTCCTGCAGTTGCAGAGCCTGTAACGTGCGTACAGCCGACCCAGCTGCAGGGAGGGGCTGAGAGGTCCGATGCTGCAATGTGGTTTATGTTCTCTGACGGCACTGAGCCCGTGGTGTGGTGTGGAGGGCGGGAACTGCAGAAACCAGAGGAGTGAGATGCAGCCAACATGCAGTGCCCAGCTGGGCTGAGGAGCACAGGGCACCAGAGCAGAACAAACAACAAACATACGGCTCCCTGGGTTCGGCAGCCGCCTCGCTCCACCTGAGGTGTTTGTGCTGCAGGAGTCGTCCTGTGCTGGTCAGATGGTGTAGCTGAGCTTCATAAAGATAACAAGACATTGCTCCCAGCACAAACATTTAGGCCAGTCTTCCTCCACACCCATCCCTTGGTAAAAGGGGCAGGGCCGCCGCCTGCCATAGGGTGTCCTTGTGCAGATTAGGAAAAGGCACCCCCCTTTCTCTGGGCAGTGAAACCCCACAGGCTGCCCTCCTCGCTCCTTTGCCAAGCACCGTCTTGCACACATCTGTATGCTCCCCGATTTCCCAGCTGATGTTTTTTCTTTCTCCACTTTCGGCTCATTCCTCTGAAAGAAGGCTGTTTCTAACCTACTTCTTCATAGTACTACCTCAAGCCGTTTCATGGAGCCTATCTTCTTCCTCATTACGTCACTGTGGGATGTGCAGTCAACAATCAAATGAGGCCCAAAGGGAAACTGAGGCATAGAGCACCTAAGTGATACCTGGGGTCCCCAAACCTCCCCGGCAAACCTGGGATTTCGCATCCCAGCTTTTAGAGCCCTCAAAAGTTGCGTGTGTCAGACCCAACCAGTTCCTATGTTCTAAGCGGGTGTTATTTATTTTCATTTTCTTCTTGTTCTGTAAAGCAACCACAGTCACACAGGAGAGAGGAGAGTCCCAATTCTGCCGGCTGCACACAGGCTGTCTCTCTCCCCAGTGGGCTAGGAGCACCTTCTTCCTCTTTGTCCTTTCTTCTCGACAGAGTTCAGAAGGAACAGCTGGCTGCCATCTTCAAGCTCATGAAAGACAATAAGGAGACGTTTGGCGAGATGTCCGATGGCGACGTGCAGGAGCAGCTCCGGCTATACGACATGTAGACTGCGCCCATGGGATGCACAGTGGCCATGCCTGACGCTGTCCCCACCCCTGCCCCACCCCCTTGTTCTTTCCAGACTTCTGTAGGCCTAATTTGCCCTTATAAACATAGATGCAGGCATACATTCTATACGTACTTGCCCAGTTCTTGCAATGTGTATATTACTTTACAGGAATCAAAACTGTTTTCTCGGAGGACAAAGTCCCTGACCCCTCTGGCTTCTGCTTGCTGGTGAGGTTCCAGCTGTTATGGGGCTCTGAGACCCTCTCCTGATCCAAATCTTTTTTTGTTTGTTTGAGATGGAGTCTCACGCTGTTGCCCAGGCTGGAGTGCAATGGCGTGATCTCAGCTCACTGCAATCTCCACCTCCCAGATTCAGGCGATTCTCCTGCCTCAACCTCCCCAGTAGCTGGGATTACAGGCATGTACCACTACGCCCAGCTAATTTTGTATTTCTAGTAGAGATGGGGTTTTGCCATGTTGGCCAGGCTGGTCTCAAACTCCTGAGCTCAGGTGATCCACCCACCTCAGCCTCCCAAAGTGTTGGGATTACAGGCGTGAGTCACTTTGCCCAGCCAATAACTACACTCTTATTCTGCCTTATGAGGATTTCTGGAAGCTTCTGTAATTGTAGGGAAGCAAGCTGTAGGGGAGCATTCTTCCTTTTTTTTTTTTTTTTTTTTTTTTTTAGAGACAAGGTCTCATTCTGTCACCCAGGCTGGAGTGCCGTGGTGCCATCATGACTCACTGCAGCCTTGACCTCCCAGGCCCACAAAATCCTCCTGCTTCGGCATGAGTAACTGGGACTACAGGTGTGTACCACCACACCCAGCTAAAGAAAAGCGTTCTTTTCTTTTCTTTTTTGAGACAGAGTCTCGCTGTGGTGCCTGGTCACTGCTTGAACGCTTCACCTTCTGGGTTCAAGCGATTCTCCTGCCTCAGCCTTCCTAGTAGCTGGGATTACAGGCATGTGCCACCACACCCAGCAAATTTTTGTATTTTTAGTAGAGACGGAGTTTCGCCATGTTGGCCAGGCTGGTCTCGAACTCCTGACCTCAGGTGATCCACCCGCCTCGGCCTCCCAAAGTGCTATGATTACAGGTGTGAGCCACCGTGCCCAGCCAGGAGCGCTCTTTTAGCAAAAAGTCTAATTCAGAGACTCACCTTTCATCCTGGCACTAAACAATGGTACTAGAGGTAAGATCTGCCAAGAATTTCTCTCACTTAAGCAGAATACTTACTTTAAATCTAATTAGGCAAGACTTATTTGAGTACTTGCCTAATTATATTTAATTAGAACTATGCTAGACACTGTAGACAGAAGAAATAAAACACCCCACCTGGTCCTTACCTTTCAGCAGGTTAAAGGCCTTTAGGGAAGAAAAGCCCATGTGCAGGGAAAGAGATGTCACCAGAAAGCATTCAATAAAATGCCAAAGTGATCTTACAGAACAGTGCCTGTGACACCGGAGGGGATTGTTCCGTCTTTGTGAGTGAACATACAATGATGGGGATAACTGGGCCTTCACACCATGCAGGTCCCATTTCTGATCACCCCACTGGCAGAACAATTCACAGTTCTTGAGCAAACTGAGTTAGGGAGGGTATGCTAAAGACAGAACCTATGCAAGTTCTTAGAAATAGTTTTTGTTTGCTGAAATAAAGTTCAATCAACACACTACATGAAAAAAAGTGGAGCAGTGGCATTTCCATGCCTCATGCTCACCATCACGAGGTTCACTTCCCACCATCGCCTCTTGCCTGCCAGGGGTTTTTCAGAAGCCCCTCTCTGTTCCACCCTTTTGTTTCTTTGCTGACCATTCACTCTCTGTGTCTGTTGTTGGATCCAAATATGAGTGTTTGTCTTTTGTGGTGAATGCTTTTTTCCTTCTTGAAATTGTTTTAATGTGTTTTGTCAAAAGCATATAACCATGTTATGATTTAAGAATTCTTTGTTCACTTGAGGTCAGGAGTTCAAGACCAGCCTGGCCAATATGGCAAAACCCTGTCTCTACTAAAAATACAAAAATTAGCCCAGCATCCCCTGAACAAATGACCATCTGGAGGAGAAGGTAACTGCATTTCACTGGGGATCTGTGATAAAAGGGAGCATCGGTGTTGGGGAGACACCTGTTCCACCTGAGTTTCCTATGAGGTCCAGGACAGGGCTTGGTGGGCACTCGGAAGCCAGTGTCTGAAGTGCTCAGCATCCTCCTCTTCCTCGGTGGTAGGTGTCTACTGCCCAGGCCCCACCCCTGGCCGTGGACACTTCATGGAAACACTGCTGGTTTGCTATGGTGTTGGGTGGCTCTTGTCTATTCCCCATAAGTGCTGGCCTCTGTTGACACCATTTCTGCCACCTCATCTGAGATTGCTCTCATCAGCTCACAGAGATTCAGTTCAGAGAATGAACCAAATCTAAGCTAAAAAGCATAAAGGAGGGCAGAAAGAAACAGCAGGGTGGGAGAAAGAGCGCAAACACCGCGGGAAAGATGTCTACCTGGCAGCCACGTCACAGAATCACCAGTATGTACGTCACTGCCACCAAGAACCTAGAACCACAGAGGCCTACAGAAGCCAATCCCAGTGGAACTCTCTCCGGTGCGGGGGCTGAGAGAACCTAAAACATTCAGGTGGCCAGAGCTTCTTTCCAGAGATGGGAACCAGTCTCAAAGCCTTTGCATCTCTTCCCTGCCCTCCCTCCATCACTCTGCTGAGAACTCTGCCCCAGGCTGGCCTGCTGACATGACACGAATAGCAGTGGCCTGTCACTCATCAGTATCTGCAGTTCTGTTTACCAAAGCCTGCTTGCTAGAGACTTGTCAGGGCCTCCTTCCCTCAAAGTGTCCATTGTACCTCCATCTGGATACAATTAGCTGGCTCCCCACTTCCTGGACTGACAGTAACCACCTTTTCCAATGACCCTGAAGAAAACACGCAATCTAAGCTGCTTTACGAGTAAACCTACAACTGAGGACAAATTTTCTATCAACCCCCAGTACCCCTCTCTGCTGTGGCTGATTTGTTACTGGTTTTCTTTT